ACTAGGAGGCGAGGAGTCGAGGAGTCGAGATAACCGAGATAAGTGTGACGTGTGAACGGTCGTCAAAACTGAGCTTGGCCTGGTTACCGATCCAAGCTCGGACTGGTCTGTGCCTGGATCGGTTTTTCAAGGGTAGTGTAAATGGGGCTTATGCTTCTGACGCATAGCCTCTGCAACCGTCAAATCTGTCTCTGTGCGCGACCACGCCCCCCACGCAGAGGTTCTGCAACTGTCGTTGAATCCTGACTACGCGTCGGACGATCACAAACCCGCGCAGACAAAGAGCAGCTGTGATTGGTCCTTTTTATGCCTTTCCAGCTGTCTGTGTGGTCGTCCTTCTCAATTCGGTGCCAAGGCACGCCATTCTTAAAAACCGAGGAACAACGGACAACTACGACAAAAGGTTAATTGAGGAGGTTCGGAAGTACAACCATTTGTACAATGCCTCAGACAAATTTTATAAATAAATTTATCGTCTTTGGTGTCTAGCAACTCTAGATCCATCTCCATAACCGTCATATCTTGCAGACGTGCCATTGTTGTTTTGGAAGATAAACACTCCCACCGGCGCCGCCGAAGTTCTCGCGAGTTCCCCAATAGGCTCCAGCTTGCGCTTTGGTGGGAAACTGCTGTGCGTCCCAGAAATTCCAGACCGATGGTGCAGAAGCAAACCAGCAAAATTGACCAGTGACCAGACGCAAGCAACATTTGATGTATGCGGTTGCAGAAGTATAATCTGCCCTTTAGGCTCATAAAATTTTCAGACCTTGAAAGCATTCTAACAGCACGTTGTTTCCATCTTTCTTGCTTAGTGGAACATAAATGTGGCTATCATCAGTGGGAATAAGCACCAAGCCTCATTATTGAGCCAAGGTGAAGTAGATAAAGAGCATAAAGCAGAGCCCTGTGGCCTCTCCAAACAATAAGGGAACAGAGGATGAGGTATGATCACCAAGGGAGATGCAGAATGTTCGGTTTTCTGAAGATCATCTTAACCAATCAATCCCCGATGCTGACCTACTGGGCCAAACTAGAGAGTCTACTGTGTCATGAGCAGCAGGTAAGTCCAAGAGAGGAAGAATCACACAGCCAACTGAGTCAGCTGCCAAATACCATGAAAAACCAGGAGCTGCAGCTGGATAATCGCCTCCAGGCTCAGAGAGTTTAACTGTAAATGTTTATTCTCTGCTGGCTTGCATAAACACAGCCTCCTGTTTAAATTTTCATTTTGTGCAAAATTCTGCTTCCTTTGGGGCCCCTACTGGCAGTGCAGCTTCACTCTGACTACCAGATATGCACTTGAAAGGTGTCCTGAATGAAAGGAAATGGACTAGAGACAGTAGAAATAGAGGATCCTGTTAGCATGCAGGTAGGACAGAACCAGACCAACAAATATTTGTTGGCTGGAACTGGTAGTGAAGCTGTTAGCTAAAGGTTACCTCTGCAGCCTGATTATTCCCATTTTCCTCCAATGCAGAGTGAAACGTATCATACTGGTGGAGCCGTGGGGTTTCCCTGAGTTTCAGGAGACGCTGGAAGCAGACCGACCCGTTCCTGTGTGGATCAAAGCCTTGGGAGCAATGTTCAGCCCCTTCAACCCTCTGGCTGGCCTCAGACTGGTTGGACCCCTCGGTAAGAGTGCAGCACCAGGTAGTGACGGATCATACCTCACCTCACCCTAACTGGAGGAGGAACGTAGTAGTGATGATACAGCTGACGTTGATTCAGAAGAACGTTCAGCCCTGTGAAGAGCTGCTTTGTGTCTCCGTAGGTCCTACTCTGGTGCAGACTATGAGACCGGACTTCAAGAAGAAGTTCTCCTCCATGTTTTCAGACAACACTGTGTCAGAGTATATCTACCACCTAAACGTCCAGTCTCCCAGGTCTGCCTCTCCTGCTCCTCTTTCTTTTCCGCTCTGAGATCTTCTTTCCTCTGATCTATGGTTTCATCTCTGATCAGTGGAGAAACTGCTTTTAAGAGCATGACGGGTTCCTGTGGCTGGGCCAAGAGGCCGATGCTTCAGAGGTTGCACCAGCTACCGCCCGACATTCCCATCTCCATCATCTACGGCTCCCGCTCCAGCATAGACAGCGACTCGGCCAGTGCCATCCAGCAGGAGAGAACAGATGTGGACATTATTGTGAGTAAACACTTCTATTGTCATCCCCAGTATAACCAGTTCAGTTTATAACCAGCGGGTCTGCATCCCCCAGTATAACCAGTTCAGTTTATAACCAGCGGGTCTGCATCCCCCAGTATAACCAGTTCAGTTTATAACCAGC